CCCCAAAACCCCAAAACCCCAAAACCCCAAAACCCCAAAACCCCAAAACCCCAACTCAGGGTACTTAAATTGAAATTAAGCTCACGTATTAATAGTCTAAATCATAAATTAAGACAAATTAAATATGTACAAAACTAGACAAGAACGAACTCCGTTTCTAGAAAACCAGAAGGAGCTGAGTCTCCCACTGAAGATCTCCTGGAAGGATCTAAAGTACACTGTCAGGACTAAGCTGACTAAAGTGCAGAGGGAAGTCCAAGGCGATGGCAACAAGATCATTAGCAAGGAAATACTTAAGCCTCAAAGTGGCTATATTCAGGCAGGAGAGGCATGATTTATCATGGGCTCATCAGGTGCAGGCAAGACGACCCTTCTTAATGCTCTCTGTGATAGACTGACTAATAATAAGAAGAATAAAATTGAAGGACAGATCACTCTTAATCATTCCCATCCAGTAACTCAGAAAGATTTTGGGAAGTATGGTGCTTATGTCATGCAGGATGATGTCCTGTTCCCTACTCTAAGCTGTAAAGAAGTTATTACTTTCTCGGCAAGACTCAAGCTGGATATCACTGGTGACGAGCTCGATTACAAGGTGGAAGAGATCATCGAGGATCTTGGCCTAACAAAGTGAAAGGACACTTTAATCGGAGATCATATGATGAAAGGGCTCAGTGGTGGAGAGAGAAAAAGAACAGCTATAGCTGTAGAAATGGTGACGAATCCAAAAGTACTCTTCTTGGATGAGCCAACCTCAGGACTTGACAGCTTCACTGCTAATAAAATCGTAAAGATTCTGGTAAATCAAGCGAGACTCGGAAAGACAGTCCTTGCAACAATTCATCAGCCAAGCTCTGGTACTTTTGCACTTTTTGATAAACTAATATTACTTATGGATGGGTACCAGATTTATCATGGAAGTGCAAAGGATTCAGTAAACTACTTCACAGATTTGGGATTCTCAATCCCAACGTATGCGAATCCTGCTGACTATTATCTCATGGAATTTTTCGTCCCGTTCAAAAAGTCCCAGGAGGATAAGGACAAGATGGATCTTTTGATTAACAAATATCAGGAGATATTAGCACCTAGGGTGGAAGAAGAGGATACTCCATCAACTAAATACCCTCAAATCACCTATGAGGATCTTTCCCAGTCTTTCAAACATGCTTCGTTTATCCCTGAGCTGAGGGAGGTGGTCAAGAGAGCAGTCATAAACATCAGAAGACACCCAATGCTTGTCAAGATGAGAGTTGGACAAACCTTAATGATTAGTCTCATGTGTTGTTTGTGCTTTTGGAATCTTGGATTCACTGTAAAATCTATGCAGAACAAGGCTGGGTTCATCTACTTCCTATCTGTGAATCAGTTCATGTCAGGAATGTTTACTGTGCTGATTACTTTCCTAAATGAACGCTCTGTATTCCTGAGAGAGTATGCGAGTAAGACTTATGGACTTCCCTCGTATTTCATTTCAAAATCAGTGGTGGACACTCCATTCCAGTTTATCTTCCCAATCATCACAGCTTTGATAATATACTTTGCTGCAGGATTTGAAGTAGACGCAGCAAGATTCTTCATCTTCACAGTAGTACTTGTTGGAATGATCTTCTGTGGAACTTCATGGGGCTTCTTGATAGGATGAGCATTTCAGAACATCGATAAGGCACTTAACAGCGCCTTTTTGTGAGTCATGCCCGTTCTTATGTTCGGGGGATTCTACGTCAACCTCAAGACTGTATATGTATGGTTGAGATGGATAAGCTGGATATCTCCAGTGAGATACTCGACAGAAGCACTTTTAAGGAACGAAATTGAAAATAACGATAGCTACCCAGATCTTCCCACTCCGATTTATGAAGCCTTTGACTATAACCTTGGCATGAATTGGTCTATCGCGATGCTCTTCATCCTAGGAGTAGTCCTCAGGGCCTTGGCATACTTTGCCCTTAAGCTGACCATTGCCAAGGTTGAATAAGAGGTTGCAAAAATAGAATAATTCCTCAGGGGAACGTAACAATCGAACCTTTTTCTAGCAATCGCAACAATTTCGTTTAGTCCTTAATGTCACGTTCAACCTATAAACAGTCGAATGGGGTTTTGGGGTTTTGGGGTTTTGGGGTTTTGGGGTTTTGGGG